CGTCTCGATCTCCCCGAAGGCGGCGGCCCAGATGAGGGGGGTGAAACCTCTCTCGTCGGGTTTGTTCACCAAGTTCTCACCTACACAAACACGGGGGGGGGGTGAGGGGGACACACAGGTGGGAAGGGGAAAAGCCCCCTCTGCTCCCTCAGTCCTCCCAGTAAACCCAGCAACACCACCCCAGCTGGCAGATTAACGCTTGGAGTGGAGGATCCTCGAGGTCTTTTCCAACCTCAATGATCCTGTGGCTGGGTGAGACCCGAGCTGGGGGTGTGGGGGAGTCACCAGCCAGGACCTGGCAGGGCCTGGGCTGGGAGAGGGAGCCACATACCTTTCCGAAGGTGCTCCTTCAGCTGGATGAGCTCCCCCTGGGCAGCAAGTTGGTGGATGGACAGTGCTGGGGGAGAGAAGGGATTCAAAACCCTTCCCCAGCTGCAGGTGGGTCCCTGGCCCCAGAAATCCCTCACCCCTGCCATTCAGGGGTGTGAAGAGCAGGACACAGAGGGTACCCCCCCGTGTCCTGCTGTCCCTCTGTCCCCTCCACACCCCCTCTGTCACCCCCTGCCTGGTGGCACTCACTGTCCAGCGTGGCTGGGAGGGCTGACACCTCGTTGCCTCGTTGCCTGTTGGTCAGAGTGTTGGAGTGTTTCAGGGGGAAACCTATTCCAAGGAGAGGAGAGAGGGTTCATTCTCTATTTATTTATCCTCTACTCATTTAGGTCTCGTTCTCTATATTTATTTATCCTCCATTAATTTAAGTTTTATTCTCTATTTTTTTTTTATTCTCTACTCATTTAGGTCTTATTTTCTATTTACTTATTCTTATACAGGTATCAAGAGACAAGATCCACCCGGGGGGGAAGCAGGGACCTGGAATTAAGGGCATAAATGCACAGGTTCACTCAGGTCCGTTCTCCTATTTCCTGCCTTTGAGAGGCTCCACGTGGAAATCTCGGCGTGTTTTTGATCGGGAAAGCCCCTGGAAGGGTTTCCCGGCTCTGATGGAGCTGCAGCGACCTCTCACTGCTGGCGAGAGGCAGCATCCAGGGCTGGGGCTGGAGCTGGGACTGGCTTTGGGAAGGACTGGCAGCAGCCAGGGACTGCTGTCCAGTGGATTTCGTGGGCTGGGAGAATCCAGGGACTGCTCTCCAGCAGATTTGATGGGCTGGGAGAATCCAGGGACTGCTGTCCAGCGGATTTGGTGGGCTGGGAGATCCTGGGGAGCTCCGTCCCCCCCGGGCTCTGCAATACTCACCGTCCAGGGCCGGCAGCTCGGCGCTGCTCTGGGCGTCCATCGAGGGGGTCCTGGGGGGCTCAGCTCCACCTGCCAAACCAGGGCGGCTCTCAGGGACCCCGGGGGGCTCCACACCCCCCGTGTCTGAGCCCGGGGGAAGCTCCAGGACAGCTGGGAGTGGGACAGGATTGCTGGGGTATCCCATGGAGGGACAAGATTGTTGGGATGCTCTGTGCAGGGCCAGGGTTTTTGGGGTGTCCTGTGCAGGGGGTCAGGGGG